GCGCGCGAGCTCGGACGACGACGACGACGACGACGACGACGACGACGACGACGACGACGACATCAGCGGCGGCGGCGGCCGACGGCGACGACGGCGACAATTACGACTACGACCGCGACTATCTACGACAACGAGGAGGAGGGGGAGGTAGGAAGAGGAGAAGGAGAAGGAAGAAGGGAGGAGGAGGGAGAAGGAGGGAGGAAGAGGGAAGAGGGAAGAGGGAGGGGGAGGGTGGATTTCTGGATTGCGCGATCGTTGAATCGTCTAGCCTGTCGATGTATGGCGGCGCTGCAGCTAAATACTCGGGGACGCAAGAGATATTCGGCCACGGGCACCAAGTCACCCAGGAAGACACACGTGCATATGTAGGCGTGGGCACGACACAAGGGCAGGTGCGGCGTAGGCTAGGAAAGTGAAAAACAGTGAATCCAGCAGCCTTACCAAAGGTAGGAGTCTGTAGCTGCTAAATGGTTTGGACTGAAGAAAACCTCATGATCGCCTCACCAACCTAGTGAGACACGGGAATCCAACATTCGTTCAGCGGCAACCTCATCATAAGGGGGAGACTAAAGTGGAAGAGAAGGTGCAAGAGGAGGTCCTGGACGCATTCCCCTGCGGACATGCATCCGAAACATCTCTTCGCTCGCTCGGCTGTCCATGAGCTCGCGGCTAATGGTAGTAGGCATATCGCTACTGGGACGCGCTGTGCACGAACCCATTCCCATTGCAAAACGGCGGCCGGCTGGAGGGCCGACATGTCACAAACTCACGGCGAACGTGATCACTCTCACGGCAAACTATATCATCCGACTCACTGGAGCGCAAAGGAGGTCCTGGGCCCGCCAGGGGAGACGCATCGGCGCGAGCGGGACTTGCCTCGCGCTCGGCGGCAACAGAGACCGGGCCAGTGACCTCGGTGGTAGCCTCAATGGTGCCGTCGCAGGCTTCCCTCGCCTGGAGTCGGAGTGGGGTGGGGCCTGTAGGCTGTCTCGCAACCTCCCCCCGAGCCCCGACAGGGGGCGCTGGGGGGAGGGGCTTGCCCACCTCCGTTGTACCAGCAGGTCCAGCATGAGGTACATCACGATCCCGGGCGGCAGCAATTGGTGGCGCGCCAAGGGGGTCGGGGGAGGGGGGAAGGCTTCTTAGAAGCAGGGTTGCTTCTGAGAAGCCTTCCCCCCTCCCCCTACCCCCCTCCGCGCATGGCCGAAGCAACCAGCTCCCGCGTCAGGCCTCACGAGGACGCGAATGAGCACGGCGAAGACGTCGTCGTCGAGGGAGCGGCTGCAGGCGCACTGCGCGCCTCCGGCCTGGGAGGCGCAAGGGGCGCAGCACCAGCGCGCAGGCGTGCAGCGAAACTGGCATGAGGGAGAACACGATCTCCAGGTACGCCGGCACCAGCAGCAAGCTTTAGGTCGGGCCTGTCCCCCTACAGGGGAATCTTGGACGACAAATTATATATAACACCACATATATATATATCATTCCTATCATACTGTATATATATACCATAAAGTACTAAAACAAATGCTCGAAAATACTTAAACATGGTCCCCAAACTATTTTTCAGCTATTTTTCCCCAAACGGCTTGCTGAACGGGGTGCTGTTGTGATAAAAGTTATTTCCGGCCGAGGGAATTCAAAGCAGAGACGTCCTCAAAAGAATTTGGTGGTCTGGGCCGTTTCGCCTGAGACATCCTCGCAACTCTCGTTTCTGAGTTGTCCGGGATTGGGCGTTTCGCGTGAGACATCCTCCAAACTCTGAGTTCCCAAATGCCGCGCAAGAGGTGGTCCGGCCCGTTTCGCCTGAGACATCCTCGCAACTCTGAACTCCCAGATGCCGCGCGAGAGGTGGTCCGGCCCGTTTCGCCTGAGACATCCTCCAAACTCTGAGCTCTGAGATGCCGTGCGCGAGGTGGTCCGGCGCGTTTCGCCTGAGACATCCTCGTAACTCTGAATTCTGAGATGCCGCGCAAGAGGTGGTCCAGTCGATTTCGGTTGAGACATCCTCGAAACTCTAGGCTCCGAGATGCCGCGCGCGACGTGGTCCGTCTCGTTTCGCCTGAAACATCCTCCAAACTCTGAGACCTGATCTGCCGCGCGTCACGTGGTCCGGCCAGTTTTGCCTGAGACATCCTCGCAACTCTGCGCTCTCTGATGCCGCGCGAGCGGTGGTCGGGCCCGTTTCGCTTGAGACATCCTCCAAACTCTGAGCCCCGAGATGCCGCCCAAGAGGTGGTCCGGCCCGTTTCACTTGAGACATCCTCGCACTTTTGCATTCCGAGATGCCGCGCGAGAGGTGGTCTGGCCAGTTTCGCTTGAGACATCCTCGAAACTCTGAGCTCTGAGCTGCTGCGCAAGAGGTGGTCCAGCCCATTTCGCCTGAGACATCCTCGCAACTCTGACCTCGGAGATGCCGCGCGCGACGTGGTCCAGCCCGTTTCGGCTGAGACATCCTTGCAACTCTCAGCTCTGAGATGCCCTGCGCGAGGTGGTCTGGCCCGTCTCGCCTGAGACATCCTCGCAGTGCGCAAGGTGGTCTGGCCCGTTTCGCACAAGACATTCTCGCAACTCTGAGCTCCCAGATGCCGCGCAAGAGGTGGTCCAGCCTGGGGGGCCAGAAGACAACATGTTACATATCCCCTGGGGCCCTGGGAGGCCCAGGAGGCCCTTGAGAGCTTCAGGAGGCCGCAAGCCCAGGACAGGCCCCAGGAGTCCCCAGGAGATTCCCAGGAGGCTCCCAGGAGGCCCCAGGAGGCTCCCTATCAGAACGTGTCAAGTTAGTACACATCCGGTGTCGATTCGTTGATTTTTCCTGCTCTTGTGGCCCCCTCCCATTTTGGAGGGCCCAGACGGCCACATGTTAGATATACCCCCCTGGGAGCCCCAAGAGGCTTCAGGAAGCCCTAAGCGGGGTCCAGGAGGCCACAGGAGGCCACAGGAGGCCCAGGAGGAAGCTCCAGGAGGTCCCCAGGAGACCCCAGGAGGCCCCAGGAGGCCCCCGCAACTCGGAGCTCTGAGACGCCGCGCTCGAGGTGGTCCGGCCCGTTTCGCCTGAACCTTCCTCGCAGCACGTTTCGCCCGAGACATCGTCGCAACTCTGGGGTCCGAGATGCCGCGCGCGAGGTGGTCCAGCCCGTTACGTTGGAGACATCCTCGCAACTCTGGGCTTCGAGATGCCGTTCGGAATGAAGAGGAGGTGGAGGAGGAGGAGGAGGAGGAGGAGGAGATGGAAGGGAGAAGGAGAATTTGGATGATGTGGATGAGGGGCAGGCAGGAGGAGGGGGAAGAGGAGGAGGAGGAGGGAGAAGGGAGTTGCAGGAGAGGACCTAACGGGAAGCGAATGTGACGTGAACTTGTCAGAACGTGTGCGAGAGGTTGTCCGGCCCGTTTCGTTTGAGACATCCTTCCAATACTAAGCTCCAAGATGCCGCCAAAACTGAGCCTCTGACAGTGCCGACCCGACAGCTTACTCGTCGACCAGGTGCGAGAGAGTACGACATCCTCTAGCGCTAGCTTCCTGACAGGCATACGTCACACACATTTTCGTGTAAACATCTCGTGCGCAAACATCATGTTATCATGTTCTAACATGCCATGCCAGTCCGCACTGGACGGGCACGCAATCGACCTTAGAAAACGCAGTGGGTTTAAAAGCCCTGTTTGGGGATACTGCACTCCGGCTAGAATGGAAGATTCCAATTGTAGAGGGACAGGCCCGACTGAAAGCAAGCTCCATGTCTCCAGCAACGCAGGCGGCAGCACGCTCCAGACCGGCCTGCAAGTTTCGGCAATCTTGACTGTGGCCCACACGAACGCCAGCTGCTGGCGGTGACGGCAGCTCTCGAGGGGGGCGCAGCAGCGGCGGAGAAGACCTCGGAGGAAGCGTCGGTGGAGGAGCGGGCTGGATGCCTGATTCGGCTAGAACCGCCAATGTCGGTGGAGTCGACCCCGATATTTTCCCTCGCTCAATTGAACATGTTCGCCTCTACGGGCTGGGTCGCAAGCCCGGGCAAGAGCGGCGACGTCGCCCATCCGAGGACGGCGGCCCGCACTGGCCACATAGCCAACCCTCCGCGCAGCGGCGCGAGGATCTGGCCTTGACACGCAGCTGCGACTGCGCTGGCTACCCTGGATGGGGCAATCATCGCCCCCTTGGACCTGCTGGGGGGGTTGGGCACGTGTTGTCGGAACGGGTGGAAGGGGGGTGGAAAAGAAAGAGGACGAGAAGGAGGAGGGGGAGGAAGAGGAGGAAGAGGAGGAGGAGGAGGAGGAGGAGGAGGATGTGGTGAGGGGGGGGGGATGGGCAAGCTCCGTCGAAAAATGAATCGCCCACCCCTCGGTTAATATCCCATCCAGAATAGATAGTGCTCGTCGCACGCGACCACCAGCTCCGGCCGAGTCCCAGCTGGCGAGGGCAGCGCGCACGAGGCCGTACCCCTAAAGAAACTGCTTCGGGCAGACGGAGGTGCCCCCGATGAAACTGGTTTTGGGAGGGAAGAGGGAGGGAGGCGGGAGGGAGGGAGGGCGAACGGATGGAGAAGGGGGGCACAGCGAGAACGGCAGCGACAGGAGGGGAAGAACTGATTTGGAATCGGCGACACATCGCCAATAGATCGGGTGTAGGCCCTCGATAGCGGAGCCGCACGTCTGGGGGCGGGATGGGGGGCCCAGGCCCCCATCGGTTGATGAATGGGCGTTCGGGGTCTTAAAGAAGCGACGAAGGAGCAGGGCGGATCCCACATGGACGACAAAGACAGCCGCCCCGCCCACGTATACCTGCCCCGGTGGCGCAACGGCACGGCGGCGGCCTGGGACTTTGCCGCCACGTGCGGGCTGCGCACCGATCTCCTCGCCGCTTCGGCCGCTTCGTCAAGTGCGCCGACGGAGCGGCACGAGGAGTCCGAAGGCAGCATCATGACATCGCGCGGCAATGCGCGGCGCAGGGCTTCACTTTTCTCTCTATGGTGGTGGACGCCCACGGCGGCGGGTGGCCGCGAGGCACGCAAGGCTTTCGGGGTCCTGGCCAAACGGGTGATGGACGCCACGGGGGAAGACGCCACTGTGGTAGCGGACCAACACGCCCAGCGACTCTCGATCTCACTGCTTAGGGAGAACGCGCGGGCGGTGTTGCGGCGCCTCCAGACGTGTCTCGAGGGGCGGGAGTGGCCGCGGCCCGTTTGGCCGCGGCCACGGCTGCCTCCGCGGTGGGCCCGCGTGAAGCTGTCCCGGCGCTGCTTGGCACCCCCCCAATCCCCCTCATCCTTGCTGGGCGGCACGAGCCCCCCCCCCCCCGCGCCCCGCCGCCGGCCGTCCATTCCTCGGCGGGGCGGTGGATGGACCCCACAGAATGCAATCCCCACCAAGACGCAGCGTGCTGGGATCGGCCAGGCACCCCACAGCGATCCCGACGCCCTCCCCGACACCTTTCCCGACGCCCAACCCCACGCCCTGCCCCACGCCGTGCCCGTTGTCCTGCCCGCCTCCAGCACGACGATCCCGACGACGAATCCAGCACTGGTGTCGCCGCCGTGGTGGCCGTAGCCTCGTCGCGGGTGGTCATTATCTCCCGGCCCCTGTTCTGGCCCGTCTGCTTACGTTTGCTCATGTCTCCCCCCTCGTTTCCCGTCCCTCGTCGCCCTCGCCTTCTCCTCCCTTGCTCCCTGCTTGCTGACTCCCTCTGTCCCTTCCCGCCTGCCCGCCCGCTTGCTTTGTCCCGCGGGCCCTGGTCTCCCGCCTGCGCCGCGGTTGCCTTCGTCTGCTTGCTTCTCGTTCCCCTCCTCGCTCCCCGTCGCCGCGCAGCACAAACTGCCGGGAGCCGGCGGTCCGACAGTCATGTCTACAAAAGATGTTGGCCTGGCGCTCCAATCTCCACCCGCTCCCCGCACCCTGTCCAGCATGCGGCGAAGCATGGCGCCGTGCGTGCCGCCACCTCTGGGCAGATTTCCAACGACGACGGCGACGACGACGACGACGACGACGATAACGACGAAACGACAACGACGACGCCGACGAGGACGCCGACGACGACGCTGTCGACGAGGACGCCGTGAGCGCTGCCGCCTGCGGGCCGAAGTCCGACGGCGGCTGCCCGGCCCCGTACGGGCGCGCGCCGCGCAGCCGCACCCGGCCCGCCGCGCCGCGCGAAGCGCGCGGCTGCTCGCCGCCCGGGGCCGGCGGCTCCCACGAGGCGAACTTGTAGCCGCTCAGGAGCGCGCCCTGGCCGCCGACGGCCACGCCCGCCACCGCCGCCGCCGTTGGTCGTCGCCGTCGCCGCCGTCCTGACGGTGGTAGCCGTCGTCGTCGTCGTCGTCGTCGTCGTCGTCGTCGTCGTCGTCGTCGTCGCTGTCGCCTCCGATCTCGCC